TGATAGGGCTCTTGTATCACTGGTACCTGACATCGTTACAATGTGTGCGTGCTGCACACCATTGAACCCTGGTCCCACACCAGGATCCCCAGGCATCATAGGCGTTGGTCCACTTCTCATCGATGGGATCGGGCATGGTGTAGAAGGGCCTCACCTCCTGGGAACCGGATCCCTCGTTGATTGGCCAAGTTCAGTGCCTCAAGAAACGGCCACGCCCTGTAAATCCCGGTCATGAACAAGAAGTGATATACCAGCACCACTGGAAAGGGTGGTTTATGGACACTCCTGACAGACTATGTGAATATTCCATCCAACAACCCCCTCCATGGTGCTGGTACTTCAGTTTGAGACAACTTTGCTGAAAGATGTCGTCGAACAGTGATTTTGGACCGTGACCAGGCTGGGAAAGATTGATATATACATGCCCATTGCTGAACATTAAAAAAACAAAAAAACATCGTTCCCGTGCATGACCATTAATTCTATACTATTCTATACTATACCTGTTCTTCCTTTGGAGGGTTGTACAATCGCTTCGGACACATTTTTTGACACATAATGAAACATGGGAACATCACAATCCTAACAAAACCAGACTAATATCTAATGTAAAAGCCCCATGAGTTTTCCAAGTGAATTAGTGTGCTGGAGGAAGCACTGATAGAGACCCTGGGGCGTGGGAGTGCAAGGCCATCCGCTCCAGAAGTGCAAGCTCTGAAGACTCCTTGGGGAACTTGTCAATGATGTAGAAATCTTCACCGTGCGTCTTGTGGATGATAATGCCCAGCAACTGCCGTACGCTTCGTGGCTACGCTTTTTGGAGGCGGGGAAGCATATGTCACACATAGCCAACACAAAACGTTGTAAACAAAGTCCTGCACCAAATATGGAGCTGAGGACCTCCTACTATTTGTTACTATTTGCCAAGTTGACGTGGGTGTGTCAAACACCTACCATCTCTGTCTAGACTCTAGACAGTCTGGACTTGCATTCATGACCTTCTTGGTGGGATGATCCGCGTGACATAAACGAATAATTCTGCTCCTTCATTCTCGTCAGTCGAGCGGCGGCAAGCGCTGTCCACATGACACAGCAAACATGCCCTCCCCTGTGAATTCTGAGGGTTGCCAGCATGCGAATGTATGAGAACCATTTCTCTCAAGTGGTTTGCCCTTTTGAAGTAGCGGATCGATCGCCTGTGTCATAGAAAAGTGGCGGCATTCTATCATCTGGTCTACCCGCTTTGACGTTGTTCCTACATCGTATCCCATCAGGAGACGATTCCCAAAGACCAAGAGCCCGATAACATTCACACACCCCAAACAGCTCGCACCTTCTCATCCTCTGTGCTGATGTCCTGCCACCCAACCCAGCGAAACCCAGGGATCAAACATGAGAACATGGAACATACGAGAGGCCGCCGATGGCGACCAGGTCTTTAACTCTAGAAATGGTTTGTGAACACCCCTCAAGAGCCCCCAAATCTCGGGGACGGCACCCCGCGCTTCCACAAAGGATTTGGATTTGGACGATGTGGTCATTTGGACAGAACCGATGTCGTGCCCGATGTCCGGCATGGGACATGGGACAGATCAGTCAGCATGGGATGTCAGGCGGGTCTCCTCGTTCTCCTCATGCGCCTTCACCGACCTATTGTGCGTGGTGGTGGGGTTCGCAACCGGCAGAGAGAGATGGAGGATGAATTGAAGTTCATAGGATGGTGCAACACGAGGCATCACTATCACCGTTTCTTGACATTTGCTCTTGAAATCTCTTGAAGGTTTGTGACTGCAAGCTCAAGTGCGGGTCAACAAGAACAAAAAAACACTTTGTGGATCTTCGAGGGATGAGGGCAAATGTCGGAAAGACCAAGCCATGAAGAAACCAAAGGACAAGCAAGTCTTTTATTTGCGCCAGCCTCTGGAAAACTCGGATATTCTTGCACACACACACCCAGTGTATATATAGGCTGAAACCATGATAAACTCAAGAAAATCACATCCTGGTCCTGCATTGCTCCTGGTTCTGAAAAGGTTCCCAAATGAACACATTCTTGTTCGTTCCTTGATTTTCTTGCTTGCCAGCCTGCCAGCTGCCCAAAGATATGACTCTGCCTTTTTCATGCACCGTCGTTTTCCCGTTTTCTGCTTCGAAACCTCCGTTGTGCACCGTCACTTCGTCCGGTCGAGGTGAGGTGGTGACGGCCCCGACGCGAGGTGCTTTTCGAGGATCTTTCGGTCATAGTCACTGGCCGCATCCTGGAGGTGACAAGTCCGCCCAGTTCTGGGCAGTCCAGTTGAAAAGGTAGGAACAACTCCGGGTTTTCCGAACGGAAGGAACGGAAGGTGAGTGTCCGGCAAAGGTTTCCCTGCTTGATGAATTCTGGGTAGGTTTGATTTTTCTGAGTAGTTCCATTTCGTTCCATCAATTCAAAAGGTTGACCTACGATTAATATGCCTCTAAAGCTCACCAACTACCGAAACACTCCGTGAAACTACCATCTTTGCCGAGAAATGGCCAGGGGTGATTGCATTTCGGGGGATCAAATACGGCAGATATCCCAGTCCCATCGGCTCGTGTTGTGTGTGCCACCTTGCACCGGTCTGACCGTCCGCCGCGTGCTGCGCGCAGCCGCGCGCCTTGATCCTCTGCTCCAAGATCGGAGGGCCTCCAGAGGACCAGTCCGGCCACTTGGGCCCATGGACTCCGACTTCAACCACCCCAACGTAGGTATACCAGGTAGTCACCAGCGTCTGGGATACTCTTTGGCTTTGAATATGATGGACACTACTGACAGGAAAGGTCCTTTACGAGGGTTCTGCTAATTTGTTGTTTGGAGGGACTGCACGGTGTGAAAGTATAGGTTCGATGCTCGGAACATGTCTCTGACAAACCAGTATAGCTTTGGGGGGTTCATGCTAACAAATACATCATGCTGCTGTGCAAGAAGCTGCAGAATGTCAAACCAACCAATTACCCATGTGGGTCAAAACTCAGGAAAACAACTACACAGAACATCAAAAACAATAAAACACATACATACCAGGACCATCCTGTCTGGGTGTCCTGGCTGGACTTCCCTACAGATGTCCTGGTAAGGACACCCAGACAGGATGGTCCTGGCAAGTCGACCCTCCAAAGTTCTTTCCCTCCAAACGATTACACCGACCCCGTCCATCTGCGGCGCAGAACACATCGACGCCGGCCTTCTCTTCTCAACAAGGCGATGGCCTCCGAGAACCTGGCATTCTCGCAGAACAGCACGTGGAGGACGGTGCTTGGGAAGACTCAGCACCGGCTACACGTAGAAGACTTCAAGACCCAAAAGAAGTCATAAACACCAAAAAAAAAAACACACAGTGCAAATATTCGCATGTATTCTATGGCTTTCTATGGTGGCTATATAATCACTTGTGGTATCTGGTAGGGGTGCTCAACGCTGCAGCGTCATTTCTTCAACGCAGGTGTCGCCAAAAGCGAGGAACACACGGAATGGCAAGAAGCGATGCTCTGATCCTCGTGCTGCACTCATTTGCAACAACATGACTCATGACAAACACTTCTTAACTAATATCTAACATGAGCCTGGACCAAAGGGCCAAGCGGCCAAGCCACTACGCAGTAAAGAGCTGCTTCAATCATGCGTATACCGTATACAAGTCAATCATTTTGCTGGAGTCGTTATTGGAGAATCCAGTGAAATCCTGGGGGTGGCTTCAGTTGTTTCATACTCTCCATGAGGTCCAACCCTGACTATGACCCACGGGGCAGGTCATCAGGTGCAAGCTCATGGTTTCTCAACGCCGGGGACCACCAGCGGGCTGCTTCGTCGCAAAAGAGTCGAAATCCGCACCCTGGTCCCAAGCACTTGTTCAAAACGAATTGGTCGGAAATCACACATTCTAAAAGGAATGTGTAGATTCACAATCGCCACTCTTCCAACAATTTGTCAGATTCACACACTACCAGCGGCACCGTTTAGCTCGAAAACGGATGTTCTTTTTGCAATATAACTTACCGGGTTGTGCAACAAGCAACCCTCATTTTGGCTGGGAAATGGTTGTCAAAATGGTTTTCAAGACTACAACGTCCATATTTTAATGGTCTTTTGAAGAAATGGATCCTTTCCCCTGCCTCTCAGCCCAAAAGAAAGGTGCACGACCCGACCGATCGCTCCTCACCGGCAGTGCATCTCTGCGTGAAACGGGTGGCCCGGGTGCGGCACCGGTGAATGACCGGTGAACCGGCACGACCCCAACGACCGGCCGTTCCAAGGCACGTCGCCCGCGCGGCACGGCACTTCGCAACGAAGCTGAAACTGGTCATCCTCGAAGCCGGAAATTCGGGAGCTGTGAAGAATTCTGGTCCGGTTTCTACAGCAACGCGAGCGCGATGCAAGAACTCGTCGGATTTTGGGCCTGAGCGATTTTTGGCAAACCCCGAAGGAGCAGGGCTCAAAGGTCTGATGGAATCTGGCAAAGAGTCACATGGACCAACAAACGCTAAAAACAACATGGGCCCTTGCTTGCCTGGCCATCAAGGATGCTTGATGGACGGACGTGGAAGGTGTGGGTGTCCTGCTTACTGCACTTCTTCCCTCCGATAATTGTTCTTCATTGACTCCGGCTTCGAAGCGCCACGCACCAGTCAAAGCTGCCGTCAGAGACGAGAGGTCGAGAGCAGTTGTTCGATTTCAAAGCGCTCTGTAAGGCAGAATGAGTCCAAGTAGCCCATCTGGGATATCCGAGAGGTTTGTCACATGAACCATCGGAGGGGTTTGCACCTTTGGGATCCAAACATGTCGTATATATTGCATCTATATACTGCATCTTTGCTAGTTCTGGGGTGCAAGCCGTCTTTCCCCGCCTTCCGGCGACCTCTCGCTCCGCACCACGGCTTCCTCTGACCGGAAAAGCAAAGAATTCGGAGCTCGCAGCACAGCTTCTCACTTCGTCGGCCTCGGTCGATGTCATGGGATGGTGGGGGCTGCATTGAGAAACATCTGCCGCATCTGCGTCTTAGTAACCCAAAAGGGATCCACGACTACACTGGAAATACAAACGGTACTTTGCACCTGGGAATCGCGAATCGCGAGGCAAGAGTCAAGTGCCTCGCCTCTTTGGATCCAATTAATGGCTCGGAATCGACGATAAACCCTGTTTTGATGCAAGGAATTCTTAGGGCATGATCGCATCACCACATTGAAACGTCTCTCCTGGCACTTTGGACCTGCCAACGGTTGATACAAAAGCTTCTTGAGAAGAATCATCGAAGAATCATCGAAAAATCAAGCACCAGGACTGCACCCCCCAAACCGGCGCCACCCCACCTGATTTTTGCTGCCCAACTCAAACATACATATGCTATGCTATGCATTCCATCGACGAGGGAGAACCCTTCCCTCACGTCCATTGGCCAGAGATCGGTGGAGGCGAAGGGCGAGGGCGGAGGGCTCGCGCCTAGTTCTCCGTTTCATCATCCTCAGCGGATGCAAACGTACCAGCAACCAGCAACCAGCAGCAGAAACCTAGAATGATCTGGTTTTTGCACTACGTAGTTGTGGGCTCTTGTATTGCTAGCTTAGACCATCATTTCAGGTAGGCCCTGCTGAAACATTGAGGCCCCTTAGGAGGGGATGGGGTCCAACCTATTTGATCCTCCGAGTTTGGCATGAATCATGGTCATGCTTTCTCAGGACATGGCCTCCTGAATTTGAGGAAGCAACAACGGAGGTCCACATCAACTGGGCGGCCAATCCTTCGGATTCGGTGTAGCAGGAGACCACTCAACCAAACCCTCAACACTGCTGTTGCTCACTGCGATTGGCACCAGCGATTCGCAGGTTGACTCTCAAACAACGACAAAAAACATCGGGTTTCACCCAGTCGAACCGCCTCGCAGTCGAACAGGACGTGGCAGTGAGTCAAAAGCCCGGACCCCTAATCAGGTTGATCTCCTTGGTCTATTCTGTGTTTTTTTTCAGTGGTCAATCCGGGTCCCCGAGGAACCTGACCCACTGTCATATTATTGAAAGGTGCCCACCAGGAGGTGGCTTTGCAAACTCAATGCTGAGCCAAGCCCTGCCCAGCAAGCCTTTATTCAAGAAAATGCTCCTCCTCAAAATAAGCATGGGATGCCTGAAAAAGGAATCATGCAACTTGCAACCATGTTCTTCGACCGGTCTTCTTTCAAATGCGAAGCTACTTTGTGATTCTCACCTTCCAGTCTCTTGTTGCAGTCGGTTTGTGGCATGAAGAGGAAAATGCCCCACCGAGGCCAAGGTCAAAAGGGTGTTGCGACAACCACAGAGAACACATGAGAACACTATTGCACACTATATCACTATAACCGTTCATCCAGAAGATCCCCAGATTTCCAGGACGCATTGGACCTCCCACTGGCCAGCACTTCGTGGGACTGGAAGAGGGTACTAGCTTGGGGTAAATATATCTGGCATCAATATATCTGGAGCGTCTGGGTCCTAAAACTGTCATTAACCTTCCATGGGATCCGTGAAACAAACACCAGAAAGTATGAGCCAGCACTGGCCAGCACCACGGATTCCGGGTTTGTTAGGTCAAAGGGTGTCCACTCCCAGACTGGGGGTCCAGGAGCGACCTTATCCTTCATGCCCAGCAGCCCGGACCAACGACCTCATACGTGAGAAAAGCCGGTCCTGAGCACCTTAGGTTCTCAGGTCAAGCAGGAGATCAATGCGAAGAATGGATCTGATCAACTACTCCTGCTGTCTTGAACCTGGTAGCTCTTTAGCTGATCTTAGCTGATCTTGGGGGAACACTCTAAGTCTAGTAGACGTTCTACTGCAAGGATATACCAGTTGATGAAACACAAAACACGTCTCCGAAGCATCCAGTACCCCCAAACAATGCTGCCTGAAGTCTCATCCCTCCCCCTGTCAGGGCACCAAACCTTCACTTCACCAAAAGCAGCCAAATTGGGTCCGTATCTTCCAAACAAATCATCTCTCTCTCTCTCTCTCTCAGATGGAACCCCTTTGCAAGATCTTCCACCACCCCCTGACGAGATAGAGCCCCTTTTGGGACATCAAGTCGCCCCCCAAGTCACGGCCAACTGCCGCCCTTCGATCGTCAGGGCACGGCGATCACAAAGGATCTTCCCATGGAAGAAGCCTTCGTTCCAAAGGATTTCCAGCCGTTCTGGCCCACACCTGGCCGGTGACCCCTGGGGAGTGGATCTTCCATCAGTTCTCGGACACCTGTGATCTGCACTGGTGGCAGCTTTATGACATGGGCCATGAACAGGCCACCTAAATACATGAAATGAACAATATAGAACAATATGCCAGCAGTCACAAAAGGGTGCGATCCATGGAGGTTCGGGGTGCCCAGAACATCCACGGCCCCTGGATGGGACTAAGCACCACCCCTTTGACTGCTGGTGTGTGAGATTCAATTGTAGGTGGCCACATGAACAAATACACATTCCATCTTGGCACCCCTGAAAGGCCGACCGGATGGTCTCTTTGGCCTTCGTCGAGATGCGAGATGCAAGATGTTGCAAGTGGGTTGGCCCTTGAAAATTTGAAGACCACAAGAAATCCTGAGAATGGGCTGTGAGCGACACAGCGACACGGTCCCCCAGATGTCCCCAGGTCACTGTAAATGCGGCCATGCAATTTAGGAACAAATATCTTGCAGATCATTCTCTGCCCGCTTGGGCACGTTCAGTACAACAAGTCCAACTGTTCCCATTAAGACCCAAGTCTGGAAAAAGGGTGACCCAGATTCTCAAGCTGAACTTCCCCCCCCATCAAAAATCAATTATAGTTAGAACTGGGGGTGGGGGGTGGAAACAGGACACATGGTGATGTTCATGATTGTCATGATTTGCCAAAGCGAACCACTTGACATAAATACCATCGTGGACTCATGGACCATCCCAATTGGCACGTTTGCATCCCTTCGCTTCCAAAACTGCCGCCGTGCCGCGCGGTCGTCGTGGCGGATTGGTTCAAAGTGTCCACCCGGATGTCCGTGGAGGAGCCTCCCGTGCGATGGAAAACCGTGGGAAGGATGGAGGAAGGAACATCAAACACTCGATGTATGTAATCAGCATAGTTAATATATTGCATACAAGATAATACCATATATTTGTACATATATATGTATATTATCTTAGACAAGTATTATAAGATACCTGCAAAATTGTTTATATATATATAGTTATATAAATACACTATTACATCATATATAAGACCATATAAGTTACTTACTTATAGCGTAATACATGGGATAAATGGATGGAACTATTTCATATACATGGATGGTCTGGGATTGGTGGTTCACTTGGAAGAAGACACTTTCCATATTAGAAACCAATATGGAAAAATACGGAAAACATCTAGCTTCTCCATCTTTGCATGTACTCTTGTCAACGCCCATCTTCCATGTATTTCCCCACATCGCGCTTCCTAAACAACTGGATCACTGGGCTGAATTTACCTGCATCTGATTTTGGAAAATCGAATTCTTCAAGTCTTCTATATAGTTGGGGCAACTTTGCCACATGCAAACCTCCCTTACTCCAACACAACGCCCTCCAAAAAGCTACAAATCTGATGACTTAAAGACATTTGGCATCTTTTGACCTTTTCCCCAGCAATCGTGACTTCAACATACTCACTTCATGCATGGGCTCCACACAACCGTCAAAGAAACCATCTCCCTCGAACTTCCGAACCACGCGCCGCACGCGTCGCACGCGTCGCACGCGCCGAGTGCCTGAGGTTGGGATCCGCGTCTTCTTGGAAGCCATGCGGCGATGCAGCCGCCGCGCCGACTTCCTTGGGACCCGAGGGCAGTGTGACCAGAGGGATGGATCGTCTCTCCAGGCAAGAGCATGCCAAAAAAAGCTCGAATGTTTGAAAGCCTGAGCAAAAAGGTAAGGCACAACAAGAAACAACAACACAATAAGTTTGAAAGGATCTGGAATCTATATAGGTCTTGAAGAGAGTCACAAAACATGCCCTGTACTATCTGTACTTGGTCTGCTTTGTCTTGGAGGAACACTTTTTTTGAGAAAAAAACACCCATGTTGCCTCTTCCTACTTTGAAGCAGTCTCCCATGTCCTCACCTTTTTTTCGGTCCCCACATCACGTCACAACGTTCCCGTCACTGCCAAGGTGCTCATGTTCCAAGAGCCGCTTCACGAAGGTCGACTGGACCTCGCGAGGTCCAGCGATGCGTGACCGCCGCTACGCAGAAGCGTGACGCGTCGAGTAGAAGCCCGATAAGCCCTGTGAAGTCTTCCAGGTGTGCTGGGAACAAAATCGCAACCGGAAGATGCTGCCACGATGACACCAGCTAACTCCTCTGTGCAAAAAAGAAGGGGTCGGTGCTGTCCAGCCATGTGCGTGTGAAACACAGTGTGGAGGATGGAGTCGCAACTTCGTCTCCAACGACCGAGATCAAGCCGTCTTCACTATGAACTTGGGGGGGGAAGTGCTACATGGCTCATCAACCAAGCTGGAGCTTCTCCTGGCTAAAGGCTGTGGGCCAAAAGCCAGTTCGTAGTTGAACAGGTGATTCTATGGTTCTGAGAATGTTCTGAATCTTCATCTACCAACACCACCTGGACTTTAGAAAGGCACATTTTCTTGAGGTGCAACATGGCACAACAATCAATGCAGGCGCAAAAAGCAAGACCTTTGACATTCTCAAGCAACAAATCAAACAACACATGATGTCACTACAGGCGCTTCAAGCGGCGATGTGGTCATCGGCGGCCAAGGTCACAATCGACGGAACCTTCAGATCCTCGCCAGAACCGCCCCAGCCCGGGCGATGTCGCACAGCTAAACCCGTCGCAACCCGTCAGGGAGATGGCGAGGGGGAGGTTCCGACACACAAAAAGTAACAATGCCCCCCTTTGGACCGTAGTGAAAAAGAACCTTGTCCGCACTAAAGAAGCCTGAAACCCGCCCTGGGTGGAGCAAGCATCAGGGAAGTCCCATTGCTGGACTTGTTGGGTGCTCCGGTCCGTTTTCTGCCCAGTCGGTGGTCGGCCCGCGATGTCCCGACTTCCAAGCACGTGATGTCTTGGACCCAAGAACCATGGAAGACGATGCCTCAGCAGAATGCTCAGCAGAAGCATATATGAAAGGTAAGTCATGTTCAAGTGTGGATGTCCTCATATCTGCTCCAAAGAAAGTGGTCTACTATGAATCTCAAAGGGGAGAGGAAAAAAACAAAACAAAGACTGCATCGTCGCAGCCCACAACAAATCAGAATGAGCAGCCTTGCGGGCCTTGCGAGCCTCTTTAAGCCTTGAATTGACAGCGATGGGCGACGAAACTTATTGTTTGGGTATATGTCCCATTAATACCCGGGCCCAGTGGATGATGATGGTTAGCTTGCAGCCCTTATCCAAAAATATAGTGACAGTGTTAATTGTTTACTGACTGCTGTAGGTAATAGATGGTAATAGTCACACACACAACTTATTGTGGTCAATGACCTTCGTTGATGGACCGATGAAACCTCGAGCGATATCTGCGATCTGGTCAAACACGGTCAAACGGATCTTCCTTCCAACATGCGAGTTCTACATGATTCTTTCGTGAAGCCCCTAGAAAATTCATCTGGTTTGGGCAGCGCCACATGTTCGCATTCAGCAAACTTCACAGAGACTGGAACATCTTCGGTTGTGAAATGACCAAACGACTTGTGATTCGATCTCTCCAATCAGAAAACAGCCCTTTGACCAGGACATACCAGGACCCTCCCAAACCTGGGTGTCCTGGCTGGACTCCCCAGCCCGCTACTATCCAGGATGGTCCAAACAGGACCCATGTCCAGGATGATCCAGGTAGAGTTTCCACCTGTTTTCCACGCAAAAACCCCGTCCTCGGGCCACATCGAGCTTTGCTCCTCAGGGTTGTCACTGCTCTAGCTTTGGTTTTCATGCGCCTTTTTGGGGTGAAGCTCCGGTCTTAAGGTGACGGAGGATATTCACACTTCCTGAGACTTGATCAAGTGATATTGGCATCCAGGGATGTTCTTGTTGCGACAGCGTTCAAGTTCGACTTGGAAGAACTGGCTTGATCTGGGCGCGAAGCCTGCGCTTCGCGCGTGCCCGTGTGACCCCTCTGAAGAGGGACCGTTTGGACAAACAGAATCAGCACTCAGTCCCAGCAAGTGGCTCAGTGGCTTGGACATGCTTGGACCATGCTAATGCTATGCATCAAGCCAACGGGGAGTAGATGCGATGCTGTTTCGCTGCAAGGAGAACTGCAGTTCTTGAACTGCACATGGGTGGAGATATGTGTCTTCCTTTTGGGTGGATGCTGCAAATATATCCACCAGCCCCAACTCCATCGGATGCTCTAGTCATTCCTGCGCAAAGTTCCTCAAAATGGGCGCTGCCATGGTATCTAGTAATTCTCTTATGGGAAGTGGAAACCCCTTCAGCTAGGCAGCTAGGGCTAGGGCCTACAAGGGTGACACCTCCGCACTTCACAAAAAATATCATGCCATATCAAAAGAACTTGCGCATCCAGTGATGACAACTTCATACAATTTCCACGGCTTTTTTTTTGCATGCAAGGTTAGGCCAAACAAAAAGAACAACATCTTTCCGCCCAACTCTGGTGCCCTAAGCAAAGCCCCCTAGAAGTGCCATGGCCATGGCTCCCAAAAGAAGTTCCGGCACAGCAGGTTCACGGTGAAAAGCTCTCCTCAGACCATTCAGAGTGGGGTGTCTCCAGGAAAAAGGTGTCCAAAGGGCAGAGCCAAAACGTGTTTTGACGGCTCAGGGGGACCCCAAAAATCATGCTTTTCACGATACAAATATTCTTGGAGTGAACGCAAGATGTCCAAACACGCGCAAAGAAGAATAGTCAATATATTCGAGTATCAGAATCAACAATGACACCCTACACTGGCCTAAGTCATAGCTGCGGGGAGTGTTCTGCAGAATATGTCCTGTTTATGCACAATCGTCTGCGTGCCCTTCAAAAACTCCTGCACTGAGGAACTGTACCATAGACCACTTAATCAAGGTTATTGATATCTACTATTTCCGGCAAACAAAATAATATGTCAATTCAGCCTCCGTCTACCCTCCTTCGCCAACCTCTCTGCCCTCCCGCCGGCTGCCACATCAAGCGGCGGAAGGCAAAGTACCGGATCAGGATCTCGAAGGTGGTCCTGAACGCATCGGCAAAAATCTAACATACCTATAACCTCTTGCCTAACATCGGAAATTATTGCCTAACGAGGTTCTAGGTATGTGCCCGCCTCTCTTTTTGGGGGGGGTGGGGCCTCGTCTTCAACTGCTTGCGATCGAGCGTTTTTGGTGGTTTCATCTGGTTTCATGCGGTTTGTGCGAGTCTTTTCTTGCTTTGGGGGAAGCCGGGGAAGCAGTTGCTGAGTCTCATTTCGTTGGCGGGATTGGTTCTTCCTGGGGCGGTACCCTAAGAAACCAAGGCAACTTCTTGGATCCTTCCCTCCCAAAGCAAAAACAAGACCAAAACGAAGGGTTTGACGCGCTTCCTTTTGCTACTTGAGGGCCCGTCAAGCTGGCCGGGACGCCACATGAGCTGAGGAGAGCTGGTTACATGAAGAACTTGGATGAACTGCCTCATTGCTGCGGAAAACAGCGGCCAGTGCAAAGACGTGCAACCTCTGGGCTCTTAAGGGATCGGGAGCCAACCCAAGGTGATTCTGCTTCGGTTCTCAGTGTTGGACCGGCCTGGTTCAAGGCAAGTTGCCAAAGGTGGCGATGTATTGACCCTGACTTTTGACCATCAACGCTTGCGAATGGACCACACCCCATGCCCGACGACCGTCCAAGGCACATGGGGAGTCCCCAAAGAATCCTTGGCGCCAGGAGCACGTGTCCAGTGTCCAGCCTTTCTGAACTCAACTCCCTTTCAGAGTTGCAGTGCCACAATGGTTCTACCATTTAATTTTGGCTCACCTCGCTTCAACAAACTATCACATGGCAGAATTAAAGCCATGTAGAGGCTCCAACTTGGGGCAAACTTGGGGGCATTCTGTGGCTATTCGGTGAAGAAACGTCCCACAGAAAACTCTAGCTGCTAGCTTTGGAGTCCCCAACTGCTCATCTTGGCCGGACAGTATGAAAGTATACTCAGCATGGTGTGGTTGAAAATGGAGCTTCTCCTTACGACTTTCTGCCGTTTTGGACAGTCCTCCTCTTTCTTCTGTGTGTTTCAATTTCACTGGCACTCACTGGTAGCCCAAGAACGGCCACGTTCAAACAAGCCAGGCACGGTCTCACACCTCAGCCTCAACCCACTTGGGACGAGTTTGGCTTAATTTGAAGTGGTCAATGAGTCAATGGAAGGAAACAATGGGAACATGGCCCGGACCTACTCCCGGACCTCTGTATGTTTTTGTTTTTCACTCCACAGTTCTACTCTGCAGAACCTACTCGAACAACACACTCCCGTGCCTTCACATTATCAACGCACCCATCCCACCAAAGACACCAAGCAACTGTCTCGTTTATTTTTTCTCCGGGAAATGCAAAGAAATGAACAACCCCTATCTCCCCGACCGGCCCAACCTAGCACCTTCTCTTTTTCAAGATCTGAGCCACTTAGTCAGAGCCTCGGCTTTGATGATCAAAAACTGCGCGGGTTCCATCAACGTGGCGAAGTGCAATGAAGACGGAGACATCTTCATCACCTCAGGGCACGCCAGGAGATAGTGTTCAGCTCTTCCTCATCCATCCTCCTCCATCCTGATCTCCCTAGGGCTCCAACTACCTCCGTTTCGAAGGTGGTTTGGGGGGGTGGGGGGATCTAACCACCTTCTGAGGATATGGTTGGAGGTTCTAGGGCTTCGACCACTCTTCAGCCCAGCGGCCCAGCCAATCACCACGCAGCCGAAGCTATGCCCCGCCCAATGGGCCGCCGTGTGGCCGTGCGCCGCCAGCATGTCCTGTGGAGGCGCTGTGGAAACCGCATTCGTATCCATAGGGGCCGGGGTGAATCAATGAATCCCAGACACTCCATGGGGCTGCCATATATTCATACATGCATTGACCCCCCAGTCAACCACCCCATACTGTATAGGCATATATGGCAGTCCCATGGAGTGTCTGGAAATTGACTCAAGGAAACATCTACACTTTCACGCTCAAAACTATGGGTTTCCTGTAGATGTTCCCTGGAACCAATTCTGGGAGTGATGAAAGCTGCCACGTTCGGTTGGATGCTCTTTGGGTGGTCCATTTGGCTGGTCTAGCACTGTTCGTGTTAGCTTCGTAAGGGAGAGTGAATCATTGTGACAAAGTGGCTCTACTACCGGGGGAGCTAAGGCCGCAGAATTGGTCTGCAAATAGAGCCACGAACAAGCCGAATCATAGAGCCATCCTGCCACATCATCGACAAGGACAAATCTCTATATATCTATCATTGTCCTAATCAGTACGTGGTCCTAATCAGTCGTTTTCTTCCTTCCTTCCAAACCTGCTGTTGCTGGCCTAATGATGCCATGTGTGGCTTAATATGCTATATGCTTTTTTGTTTTTACCGGCTCTCTCCTGGAGCTGTGCGACGACCTCCCTTGCGCTGGGCACGCTTTCCCAGGGTGCCATGGCCAAGAAGGGGAACTCCGGGATGAACAAGTCACCACCTGGTCGATCGATCGCGGTGCACACAGCCGGAGCATAGGTACCTCGACCCTGGGCTGAGGTGGAAGAAGTTCTGGTGAAAAAAGGGCCGGGCCGACATAGTTCTTCAATGTCTTTTCATGTTACGGACTGCTTGATTCATAAACAATCAGCACGACATAGTTCTGCATTTGTTCCGGCGACGTCGCGAAAAAAGACAGGTCTGATGTGACGTCACTCCAGGTATATAAGGTACCTCCAAAGGAACCCCAAGACTGGCTTGAGCTTGGTGTTGAAGAACAGCTCTGCAGAAGTCACTACATCTGATCTTGATCCAGTCGTTCCAAAGGATGGAACGAATCACCGGACCTTGACCCCCCCTAGAAGGTCTATTAGTCTATACCCCATGTTCCCGCCCTTGACCCCAAAGCACACGAAGCGTGGCTCAAACGTCTTCGAGTCATGCGCGAGAGGCTGTGGCGCTTGGACAAGCGGTAGATCCACATGAAGTAGGGAACCTAGGCGTCGGCGTTTGTGTTGCGGCCTGGGAGCCTTGCAGGTGGCCTAAGGTCATCACATCAAGTCGCACCGCCAAACATGACCAAACTACTAGCTTAGTAGCACCACCGTGTATGAACAGAAAACTACTAAAAGAACCTGGCCATCACAAGTTGTCAGCAAACAAAAACATTCTGGACCAAGTAGGCACCTGGAAACCTCACTCAATTCAATGCATAAAGCTTCAAGTGAAGTGCACTTGGACAGGTGACTCTGCAGGTGACCCCCAGAATCCCCCAGAAGCTGAAGAAACACCCCCGTCCGTCACTTGGCAGTGAACAAAACTTCCGTGGTTTTCCAGGAAACCGGGTGGACACGAAATAGGATCTTCTTGATCCCGGAGTACATGGATCCCCTAACTTACCCCGTGTCTGACTTCTTCCATTGTTGGGCCCCTCCTGCTACCAGGTGATTGGAGATCTTTTTCTTCTGCCTTGTGTGAATGGAGGATGCTCCCAGCTGCCCTCAGTTGATCTGAGTCGCCATGCTTTGGACTTGTCATTTCCCCAAGAAATTGAGTCATCCTTCATTACGAAGAAGCCAACGGCTTGATTATAAGACCTTGAGCACCCTCACGGGTCCTTGGGTGCCACAGGGAAGAGACAAATGGCCCCCAAGCCAAGCTGGATCAGTCCAAGGTGCTAGGCCCACACCCAATCCGTGGACGAAGACCAATGGCACTTGCCTGCTGAACGTGCGGAAGCACAAGGAATCGGTGTGAACAGCGCGATGGAAAGCTGGAACCTGTAGTCTCCAATCCATCAGCGGCGAGACGTCTGACACGCTGCTTGCAAGCGAGACGTCTGTCAGGTTGAAAACAATGAAGGCTCTTCCAGTGGAGAAACAAATAAGCAAGATAAAAGAACGTCTCATCCCATGAAACCCTGCGCAGGTCCATCAGCTCGACCGGACCCCCCACCGCGGCGCGGCGAGGTCGCCGTCCACGGGTCCGGAACGTCGCGAGCGCTTCCAGTAGCAAAGGCCGCCCGCACGTTCGCGGTGGAAGCCCAGCCTGGGTGGAAGCCCAGCGTGGGTGGAGCAACTGACATGGAGAAAAATGAGGGAGTGGAGGGTGAGTGGAGGGTGAGTAGTGTAGGGTGATATGAAAAGCGGTTGTGATGTGGATTCGCTGCAGGGGACGTATGCCCTGTGGCCTAGGGAAGCCCTGCCTATAAGCAGTGCAGCAAAAAGGCACACCAGGCGCACCGACACCGCACACCCCCAATCCATTCCTAGACTTATTAAGAGTCTAAGAGCGCCACATTGGTCTCATGAAACAACAGCCGCTCCCTGACGCCAGCACCACCAGCGCCGCCAATGTCATTCTCTACTTGTGCCACCACGGAACCACTGCATCACCTGCAACGCGGGATTGGCTGACGCATAGCCAGGAAGGAAAAATCAATGAATCGATGTGTCTTTGATTTCGGCAGACCGTAGTGGATTCAAAAACAAACAAACACTGAGCACTGGAGCCTGCCGACCCCCCAAAATGGAACATCGGCACCAAACATACACAACTCCAACGTCCAAGTCGTGGAGAGATCTGGCAGTTGTAGTTGAAGGCCTCATATATAGAATTCTTCGCCTTCGGACCCCCTCCCCTTCCAAGCCTTGTAGGACACCAGCGGACAAAACAAGGAGGTTCCTGCATAAACCATCAACGGCCGGTGCACCACTGGCAGCGGGTCCTCAAAGCAATCAAGCGCGAAGAAGGTGTAAGCGCACGGCGCTACTTTTTGTTGCTCGACTCTTCAGGTCCTCCAAACAATGCTTGCCGTGATCTCCTATGTGAGCTTCAGCCCTCTAAAGGTGGAATAAAGGTGGAGCCAGCACCACCCACACCACCCAGTTCGGGTGGTTTATAGACTCCCCCAAAGCCCATGCACGTTCCACATCCAATCTCGCCCCCAGATTTCCGGGTGGTGCAGTGGTTCTGAACTCACACGACCCAAGGCCTGCTCTTGACCAACTGGTGCCAATTCTAACCCAAACTCCAGTGGACCTAGCCCCAACTTCAGGAACTGCCTATACCACAGTCGGAAAAATTGGCAACGCGTCCCGAGCTTCTCAAGCTCTTTGGCCAAGCGGCCGAAAAAATCCGGTAGGCCTTCACCTGCTCATTCCGCCCCTGCGACGCACGACGAAAGACGGCGCAGGTCCCCGGGCCCCGCGCCCGGGTGCGACACACGAGCCCAGTGCCTGAGCGACACCCCGGTGTCGAAGGCCGGAACTGCCGCATTGGTGCCGCGTCCACGAAGGCTCGCGAGCATTTTCTTGGTGACTTCCGATTTGTTTGAAAGGAAAGTTACGTGTTTTTGGTTTGGGGAGCTATGTGTTTGTTGTTTAGCTTTTTTGGAGGGGGTGGGGGAGGGTGAGTGATGTGTTCGCTTCCCCCCCCAAAACCGCGGTGGTGCATGACACCCTCAGACCTGGCGCAGTTGTTGCAAACCTGCCGTCTGCAGCACCAGGTCCACCAGCGCCCGCAGTTCCTGACCCGAGGTCCAAAGTGTCCAAAAATCCAAAGGAGTTGTTCCTAGTAGCGATGCCAGGAGCCCCTAGTAGCGTCCTTGCTCCTAATAGAGGTGCAAAGGGTCTACAGATCCAAAGGAGTTGTCAGACTGTCTGCTTGCTGCTGATGCTGATGCTGATGCTGATGGTGATGATGATGGTGATGATGATGATGATGATTATAGTTGTCTAGCATAGAGGTGCAGTTTTGACCCACAGCCATCATCTGTTGAACGGAATCTGGTTCCAGCTTTCCAATCCCAGAATTTCTTGCACTTGTAGGTGTGGAGCCTTGAAACCACTATGTAGTTGCCAGTGCAGTATCAGCTGAACTTTAATTGGTTTGCTTGTTCAATGACACTAGGTGAAATGTGATGGCCCGGCAGAAGTGGTTGGCAGGGGCGGGCCGGCGTGTCTTTCCAGTTTGCGGTAACGTCCCAAAATCGGCTCTTCAGCCCCTCATGGTTAAGAAAGCAAACAACTTCACTCTTAACAACGAAACTATGGCAACCTTGCTAGGTTTGGTTGAGGTACCTATATCTAGCCAAAGCATGGCCCGGCTGGTTCTATTTGGTGACTTGATCATGACAACCTGGAGCATCATCAGTCTGGATCAGTGAATTTTTGCAGAAGAAACCCCGCAACAAGATGCAACAAGCAAGCTCAGAAGCTCTCTGTAGAACACGAGGGTTGCAAATCGGCCACCTGAACATCTATATAGGACTAGACTCAGAAACCCTGTCCCGCAAGGCTATCCCAGTCGAAGTGGGACACCAATCTCCTTGACATTCCCTTTCTTGACATTGACAAAGGGCATCGCTACTAGGAGCAAGGATGCCATTAGGGGCTCCTGGCCTTACTACTACAGGAACAAGAACACTATACTAGGGGCTCCTTGCCGTACTACTAGGAGCAAGAATGCTACTAGGAACTGAGCATCACAGAGCTGTTGTGTAGTGTTCCCCGTCCTGAAACTGCTGGGGGCTATCCGACAAGAGCTCCTCCGGCGTTGCCCCGCGGAACCAGTAGTGAGCGATCCAATCCTGGAGAGAGATCGCTAGCGATCGAGTGGGGTGAGGCGAGAGGCCTGGTGTGGATGAAATGGCCCTGTTTCCATGGAAATTGGACATGGAACTTCGTACAACTGATGACCCATGATGACCCTCTGACTCTACAACCCTCAGAAGTCCCAAAATCTTGCGATGAGGAAGGGTAGACGAGTGCCTTCTGCTGCACAATTCTTTCTGATTCCACCTGCCACTCCACACCGCCCACAGAATGGATTTCAGGTGAAGATTCGAGGACTTCCGGCAAAACCCGTTCTTCCACCCCCAGCAACGTGACCTGGACATGTGTTTGGATCCTTTCGGCTCCGCAAGTTCGCACCGGCCGCGCCTTGACGTTGTCCCGCTGGAGCCATGTGGTGATCTCGTCGGCGTCGCCGCGGCCTGGGCCGTGGAAGAAGGTCGCCAGCTCGTGCCACCGAAGCCTCCGCGGTTTGCAGAGCGGTGCGGAGCGCGGTGAGTTGACGAACAACAGAGTTTGCCCTGTCCAGACACCTGCTGTTTGTGTAGGTGGTGTTCATGGTGGTCCTCACTTACAGTGAGGAAAGCCATGCTGAATGACCAAGCGCCGAAAACACACATGAGGCTGGCATTGCCAATGCTTGCCGCAGGCATCGTTTGCATTGCTGATCATCTTAAAGTTTTGTCAAATCAAAAAAGCCGTCGGGCCAACCAAATCGAAGGTTCAGTGTTACTTGCCACTTTCAGCTCCAAAGGCCCTTTTCGGAGAGGAGATCAGATCCCATTCACGACCCCTTCGGCCAGTAGGTGGCATGGCGCTGTTTCACTCCATCTTCGTGCCTTTGGAGCTCGGCGTCCAAGTCGCCACTGGAGCCATAGCCGTCCATGTGTTTCCTTGAATCGGCGGAGTCACAGCATCACTGCTTCACTATGCTTCACTCATGTTCACCGAACAAAAAACATGGAGTAGTTGGGAGAAAACCCATGGCGAACACGTATGCCCCCAACTGGCCGACACATTCGGTCCCAAAGACCTTCATAGATGTACAGTCCATGTTGGATGCCTTCTTCACTGGTTTTGTCTGCGTTTCTTCTGACCATAGTTGTCCTCTTTTTGCATGGCTCTCGGTCTCCCCTCTCTCTCATGTTATCATGCTTCCCTCATCTAAATATGTGGCCACTCCCCTCATGCAGCGGGGGTGAGCAAACCAATTCTGACCGACATGTTACATGGCATAGCAACCAAGCGAAGAACGTGCAGACTCAGATGGCACCCCAGTCCACCAGACCAACCTTGCATGGTTTGAGAAAGAGCTGAGTCTATCGCAGCTCCTTCATGCCAAGATCGTGCGTTCCTTTTTTCCGTACGCACGTGGGCTCCTGCTTGACCCAGTGCCCTGTGCCCCTCCCAATAGGCAGTTCTTAGAGCCCCCAAACAGAGGTTCCCGGTGAACATTCAACTTCTCCAGTGACACCAAAGGATCAGAAGGTCCTCCACGCTCTCCTCTTGCCTGTGGCCGACGCCCAAGCGGGGGACGTTCAAACCCCAAAGCCAGCTACAGTAGCACGTGACGTTACATGTTCGTGCGCCAGCGTGATGCTGCCGCTCCAGTGTGCGGATCACAAGTCTCAAGGTGGAAAACTGTGCGCATCTTCCCGTTTTCGGTAGGAACATGTAGGAACAAACACCCCAACACTCTATGGAAAACATGTAGGAACAATCCCCATGGAGGCAAACGTGGCATACATGGAGTGTCTGGGAAATGGTCTCACAACCCTGGAGCAAATCCGTAGGCGGAACCTTGGCAATCTTGGTAGCTGACGGAATCCAAACAATAGTGCATAAGGATCATACCCTGCAGCTCCTTGTCTTGGAAACGTTGCACCCATGCACCCAGTGAAAACAAAAACACGTATACGAGACAGTCAAACTATATGCAGAAAGTGACCCCTCCCTTTGTGTTTTTTTTCCTGTGACCATATCATCCATTGTCACATCCAATCATTCAAGCTCAACAGGGATCCAGCAAATATAAGCTCCCCCAATCTCCAATCCAGCTCCTCAACACTACCCTCAAGCCTTGCTATCACAAAATCACTACCAAAATCTGATCATCCCCATCTGTTCTCCTCTCTCCCCTCCCTTCCTCAGCCCCCCCCGGTGCGGTGTTCCACCATGCGACTTCACCGCGCCAAGCAAAAAGCTCCCCGTGCGCGCTATGGAGGACGCGGAGCTCGCCAGCCCCAAGGGCCGGCGCTCGCCCGTGCGCGCGAGGGACGGCGCTGCGCGGGCCTGGGGATGGGGAAGGGGAGAAGATGGGGATGTTGGGCCGCCGCCTTTTTGCAATCTAGGGGGGCGGATCTGAATAGGCGGAGGTGTTTATATCATCATGGTATGCCCTCGCAGTGCCTCCCAATGCCTCCCACCATCAAAGGAGCATCACAGTATAGGGGTGTCAAATTGGGTGTCAAATATATATATGTCTACTGAGCTGCATTTTGAATTCCCGCTGTCGCTATATCATCCTCTCCATTCTAAAATTATGACAGTGTCATGGTTCCTTCCTTCTTTGTGGCACCACTCCACAATAATACCATACAAGTAGTTCCCGGGCAAGCCGGCGGCGGAAGTTTCCTATAAGAAGAAATTGACCTATAGGAGTGTCCACGTTCTCTCCACCATGCGTGTCCCTCGTGTCCCTCACTGAGCCAAACGCATGCGCTCCGGACGTTTGACACACACACACACACACAGCGCCACCTGTGCAAGGTCTGTGCTCCCTGCAGGATCAGCAGCTCACAACAGCGCACTGGGTTGCGTCTATGCCAAAGCAAGATCACCAGCCCACACCGGCGTGCTGAAGCAACTGGGCATCTGCAAGCGAAAGTTAAGTGCAGCTGGTGCGGGCACGCGAAGTGGGTGGTGTTTTCAAAGTCAAAATCATGTCTTCATTGTCCAGCTTGCCAAATACTCCGCGTACTTTACAGTTGTACTACAAAGTCGCCAGTTCTCATTTTCCAGCTCGCCAGATACTCAGCAGCGAGAGATGACTCAGCAGCGAGAGATGACTCACCAGCGAGAGATGACTCAGCAGTGAGAGATGACTCAGCAGCGAGAGATGACTCAGGAGCAAGAGATGACTCACCAGCGAGAGATGACTCATCCGCGTACTAAAGTTGTACTACAAAGTCGCCAGTTCTCAGCTTCTAGCTGCACAGATTGCTCCGCGCTCAAGTTGTAGTACAAAGTCACCAATTGCTCTCTGGCTTGCTAGCTAGCGCCTGCAAACCATGGTCAGCTACATGTACGGATCCCAAAACAAAAGCAAGTCACACCCGGTCAACCCAGTCCAACCGCTGGTTCTTTCCAAACAGTGTCCCTAGTCATGGTCAGCTATACGTACAGAATCCAAAACAAAACAAATCATACGCAGGCAACCCAATCCGACTGGACGGGTTCCAAAACAAAAACAACATGCGTGTCCCTGGCCAGTCGCACGCCCTCCGGACTTTTTGACCACCACAGTGCCACCTGTGCAAGGTCTGTGCTATACCAAGGCAAGATCAGCAGCCCACACCGGCGTGCTGAAGCAACTGTGCATCTGCAATTGAAAGTTAAATGCAGCTGCTGCGGGCACGCGAAGTGGGTGGTGTTTTCAAAGTCAAAACCATTTCTTCCAACATTTGGTGTGCTCCTCCGTGCAAAAACAGCGAAACTGTTCCTCGTCGGGCAATGCATTTTCCGGCTGTCTGCGCGGTCCACAGCGACGCACACAGATCGATGCCTCCCGACAAGAGCAAGGAATGGTTCACCCAGCGCCTCTGGCAGGGCTGGACGAGGTGGAACAACGGGCGGCGGGGGTGGTTCTCTAGCTACGAGGGTGGCTACATGACGCGGGTCACACCACCGCGCGTCGGAATGAATTTAGTTACACAGGACTTCGAATTTGCAATTTCCACCGCAACGCAGGTCACACCACCACACGCCACGCAGAAAAGCATGAGTGCTTCAACACTCGCGCACCAACTCTGCGCTGTCTCTCCATCTCGATGTACGCCTCAAATAAGAAACAACTACAATTAAGAAACGGCTTCGGAAACACATGACATCCATGGTCCGTAGAAAAGCTCTCCTCTTTTTTTGCCCATGCATCTCATGCCTACAGCACACCACCCACAGCTTTGCTTTTCTTCACCTCGTCCCATGCATGTTTGCTCAGCGCGGTCAACGAAGGCTGTGGTAGAGCAGTCCGCAACGACGTACTTGGACTATGCGCCTGTATATCTTACGTGACTCTGAAAGTGTGCTTGTGATTCATCTGATTCTGCGTGTTTGATATGTCTCTAAACTCACGCTCTTCATTCAGTATACAGTACATAGACACGGCTGCGGAAAGCTTGCCTTTCGTCTCATGCCTTCATTTCATGCCTACAGCGCAACACACATCTACAGCGCAGCATCCCAGAGCCCACAACTTGCGTACTCCACGCCTGTTTCTGAGCAACCGCACAAACGAACGAGACTCTTGCCGGAGCAGCCCGCAACGGTGTGCTGCCCAGGTCGGAGGGCTGTGGTAGAGCAGTCCGCAACGACGTACTCCGTCACTGTTCACGGGTCTCTGCGGCGCACACCTGCGGGCAGTACGGAGGAGCCAAGCCCGCGGCAAACGAGGCACTGGTGGAGCAGCCCGCCACGGCATACTCCAGGACGAAAGTCTTGGTGGAGCAGCCCGCAACGGCATACTCCAGGCCTGTTTCTGAGCAATTGTGCTAACGAACGTCCAGGACTATTTCTGAGCAGCTGTGCAGGCGTCCTCAAGGCAGCATCTTGCCTGCTAATCATCGAAGTAACCTTCGTCGTCGTAGAAATCAGCGGCGATTTCTTGAGAGATGACTCAGCAGTGAGAGATGACTCAGCAGCGAGAGGTGACTCAGCAGCGAGAGATGACTCAGGATGACTCAGGAGCGAGAGATGACTCACCAGCGAGAGATGAGTCAGCAGTGAGAGATGACCCAGCCGCAAGAGATGACTCAGCAGCGAGAGATGGCTCAGCAGCGAGAGATGACTCAGCAGTGAGAGATGACTCAGCAGTGAGACAGGAAACAACAGCGAGAGATGACTCAGCAGCGAGAGATGATTCATCCGCGTACTAAAGTTGTACTACAAAGTCGCCAGTTCTCATGGTCCAGCTTGCCAGGTACTCCGCGTACGAAAGTTGCACTACAATGTCGCCAGTTCTCAGCTTCCAGCTCACAGATTGCTCCGGGTACTAAAGTTGTACTACAAAGTCGCCAGTTCTCAGCTTCCAGCTCCCCAGATGCTGTGCCTGCCACGAAATCTGCACCTCGACGCTCACAAAGTGCTGTGCCTGCGCAGAAATCTGCACATGGAGGTTCACAAAGTGCTGCACCTGCCACGAAATCTGCACATGGAGGTTCACAAAGTGCTGCACCTGCCACGAAATCTGCACATGGAGGTTCACAAAGTGCTGCACCTGCCACGACATCTGCACATGGAGGTTCACAAAGTGCTGCACCTGCCACGAAATCTGCACATGGAGGTTCACAAAGTGCTGCACCTGCCACGAAATCTGCACATGGAGGTTCACAAAAGTGTTGTGCCTGCCACGAAATCTGCAAATGCAGGTTCACAAAGTGCTGTGCCTGCCACGAAATCTGCACTTCAAGAAA